ATGTACCCTATTATATATATAACGTATATACTTGCTAGGATCTGAAGCTTTTGGACCTTCGATCCCCAAAAAGTGAAGTATCTAATAAAAGCATAGTAAACTTATATACAACGTTAGAAGGAGAGGAAGATCTAACTTCTCAACCAATTATCAATATAATGTTGGAAGGCTAACCTGAGTGGAAAGATAAGTGAATTCACAGTCCTCTATGAACTCACACAAATGAAGCAAGCCATTTTCTTTTGCTTCAGGGATATCTCTAATAAGTATCACAATTGAATCAACTATCACCTTTTTGTACTCAAATCCTCCTTCTTCTCTAAGAATGTTGCACAAGAAGTTCATCCTAAAATAACAAAAGTACAAACAATACTGATTAATGCTTCATGTGAAAAATATTTAGACTATACACAGTAAGTGTGCACCCAATCAACTATACTATTCAAACACTATATTATGAATATTATTTACTCACAGAGATCTGTACTTCAATGGAAACTTCAAGCACAGGGACCTAATGGCATCCACAACTACAATTTTAAATTCATCAGCAATATCAGACATAAAATTTGTTATCTGCTTCATCAGCCGATCCACACTTGACTCATTTCCAGTCTTTAAAAGTGTAGTTATTGCAAGAGTTGCAATGCTTCTGTTCTGATCTGAAATCAAACTCTCCATATCAATGTTACAGTTCGTGACAGCCATTGGATGTGACATTGCCACCTGTAGAGGTACAAGTTTCTTTGAATATTGATTTCAGGAAGATAATAACAAGAATGAAGTAGAAGTACAAGAAAAACCCACACAACTTGCCATGATTAAATAAATTAAATAAGGGAGACATAAAAACAAAAGAAATAGTTATTTTCCATATTTTCTTCCGTCAAGAAGAATATATAGACTAACCATCTATTTTGAGAGAAACAATCTAAATTTTATAGAGAAAAGAGCACATCTCAAATGTAAAAGACCTTGTTCAGAGTACGAATGGCAGCAAATCTCAATACTGGCTTGGGAGAGTTTAAAAAGAGCTGAAGTACAGTAATTGCTGGAGCAACTTCTCTGCTTGTCACACCATTTAGTTCTGCAATAGCTCTGGCAGCCTCAAGGATGACCATCTCTGATTTGTGTCGCAGACAACTGTCAAGAAAATCATATAAAGGCCGGTCCCCAGTTTGGCTATTAGCAGCTGACTCACTAGCAACCTGCAAAAGACTTATTTGTGCATCAACATTAAAGAGAAATGTGGTGCTTAGTATGACCCTGTTCTCAAACATACCTGACTAGCATAACGAACCAAAAGGCATTGCGCCAAAGGAGAGCGAGCAGTGCCCCGTGTCAAGCTACTAACCAACTTATTAACGGCTAGACGATCATTCTGACGAATCTGCAGTTTTGAATACAAGTTTCTATTATGTATTTTAAATTCTAAACTACCCTAGCCCAGAGATCAAAAGTACTCATTATGCCCAGAAAAATATTAAATCACACTACGATGTGCAATCTCAATAAATTTCATGCTCATCTTACAACTATCAAGAAATTTTCTCAACACATCCTAGCCTGTTTCAATGTGGCATTGCTAGAGACAGAAATTCAGAACAACTGCAAATAACATATAAATGAAAAACAGAGATATTCAGCAGTATGCAAGGATTTACTACTGATGTTTGGAAAAAGAAAATGATTTTTAAGCAACAATTTTTACACAAACAAAATAAAGAAGAGTATTGAGATCACTAAAAAGAACAGTTAACTCTCTGTATCAAAGAAAATTGAGTAGTAATAGGGGAATAGTTGCAAATTAGAAGATAAGTTTGATTAAAACACTAGGCTGCTTAAGAGGCCAATAAGTAATGGTTGGCGGTAACTTTAATAACAGTGAGAAAACCTAAAGCTATCATGCTAATCATCACTCTGATATACAGTAGTAAGTCATCAAAAATCTTTACTCAAGGAATCAATAGTGTTGGAAAAATATGACTGATGAACCAAAATAAAATCTCCGTATTCTAAGCACATAATAAATTAAAATAGTAACTTTAGCATACCTGATGAAGCAAACCCAAAGCATGAAATTGTACGAGTGGTGCCCTTGACTGAACAGCTTCCTGGACCTCATTACTCCATCGTTTCACAATCTCAGGATTGGTCTAAGTAAAGAGACAAAATAATTTTAATAAAATTGACATCAATATAAAAAAAGTCCACCGTTAAACACAGTTAGATGGTACCTGGAGTAAATGAATCCCACTAACTAAGGCTGCACTGGCAACCACTGGGTTTTTGTCTACAATCGCTTGTTTCAAATACCGCTCAATTTGGGTGAGAAGGGTACCATCTGTTATTCTACAAAGTACACGTATAGCATTAGCACGGTACATATCATTCTTGCTATTCATATCCTTCATCAGGGAGCTTGTCACGATGATAACCTTTAATTTGAAAATTCAAGAATGGTCAGTTTGTATTTCTGCATTTATAATTTACTATAAACTCGTGAAATTACAACAAACAAGTACTAACATCATCAGAAGAGGGAGAGAGCTCCTTTATCATTAAATAAACCATTCTCCTCAATTCTATATCTCTAGACTGGAAGAGCTTAGTCACACTAAAGAAAACTTCTGTAGCTTCAACCTATAAGAGTTCAGAGAATAAGAATATTATGAGAAACCAACCGCAAAATTCACACAGGAGAAAACATGCATGTATCTATACTCGGTTCATTTATAAAGTAGCAGCAAAATCTGGGAAGAAAAATAACTAAAATTTTGATGAGGAATTGAAGTGGAGGCAACTTAACCTTTGTAAAGGTTTCACCTTGGTTCAGAAGATACAAAAGCTTCGTTATGACCTGAATACCAAACATAAAAGCGATCAAAACCAAAAACTAAACTAGGAAAAGTGAAAGATTGGTCTCTCGAATATCAACTATTTCCATGGACTAAAAAGCATATATACCTGAGAGCATTTCCTTGTGTCTAGCTGAGGATCATTGAATACCCTCGCTTCCTGAAGAACAGTACCTTTCTCAATCCCCAAAAATGGAGAATACTCCTCTGAGAAGCAAAAATAAAACCCAACCAGCGTCAGAGAACACGGAAAAACTAGTCTAGATCAACATACGCAGACCAATACGTCAATATAAAGGCAATTCCACCAAATTGTGACCAGGAGTTACAAAGAATTTAACAATTCCATTCACGTCAATTAAACAAACGCATCCACATTTCAATCCAAACATCTAAACTATGACTAGATCAACATATAGACACCAGTATATCCTCTCCGAAACGCAACTAAAATAACAAAATCACTGAGATCTGCCAAAACTCGAGAATTGAGACACAAATTACAGCTAAGAAAATCAGGAAACTAATCCGAAATTCAAAAAACAACCAGATCGAATTCCAAACGCACAATGATACAAGAAAGTAATCGCAATCAAAAGAAAGTCGAGCGAATACCTTCGTCATCGTAGTCGTCATCCTTCTTGACGAGAGGCTGAGCCATGGCGGAAGAATCTGAAGAAGGTGTGAGAGATCGGAATGGAAGAGAGTTGCAGGCGATTCCCCTCCGTGGCTGAGATTGAAATGAGGAAGCTATGGAAGTGAGATCCAAGTCGAATGTGAATAAATCGAAGAAGACGATGTAACGTAAGAGGGAGAAATCGGAAGAAGGAAATTGGCGGGTGCGTATAATATTTGTAAGGCAGATCCAATCACCCCTTTCGCCACTCCAATTAACACGTGTCTTTATTGAATTTTCCATTTTTGTAATTTTAATTTTTACCTTTCATTATTAAAATTTATTATTATTATTTTAATTATTTGATAAATAAATTAAAATCTTAAATTTTCATAAATAAATTAATTTTAGACTTCCTCTTAGTGTACAAAATTAATAATTATTTAATTAAACGTCTAAACTTTCTTAAGACTTTGAAACGAACTTCACATTTCTTTAGCACGGATAAACGGAAACAAAATAAGAACGTAAGAACTAACTTGAAAAATGTTAATATCAAAGTCATTAATATATACATGATGTGACTAATATGTGCGACTTAATCGACTTGCTTCTACACGAAACCAAATCATCTGACTCGACCTTGCCTCTATTCAGGGTCAAGGTCTTTCATATGCAACGTCGTATCTCATCTCATCATCTTTGTTCCTAACTAACATGACATCGTATATTGATGTCATCCAAAGTCCCTGCATGTCATCGACCGTTGAAGCTCGCTCGGTCATGCCCATTGAGAACAGGCCCATGTTTTGTTCATAACACTCCACTCGAGCTCTATTGAGGCATTAAACCCTCCCGTGTCAATGTCATATCATTTACGGAGCTAACATCAAGGGCGGTAGAGAGCTGACATCATGCCTTCCCTATAGTACATTTTAAGGCATTTCTAATCTTTGTGGAGTAGATGCGATTTTGGCAAGTGATCATACGACCTTATAGAGCGTCTATCGGGTGTTGATTGACACCAAATTTAGTAAGCTTTCATATCATATAAACAGACTTAACTCCAGATCCCCATGTCGAAATTCATATCAAAACCCCAACTTCTGAGGCTATGACCTGAACCCCTACCCAACTCTCTCTAAACTTGTCTTCGACATTGGTATCACCTCGTTCTATCCAACCTTGCATATGTCTCGTTCTACTGCACACTCTTCTTGGTATGTGGATGATGCACTGTCCTCCTTGGTTGCATTATGGAACTTGTCACCACCTTATCAGTCTTCGTGTGGTATCACAACCTACTATTTTCTTAGTGAGGTTCGATCCATAAAAATTGAACATACATATATCATCCACTCGTCCGAACAACATTTCAACCAACAAACTCATTTGATCTACTAGCTTGAATGCTTAGATCATAACGAACAGGGATAAGACAGATACTTCATGCACCAAAAATATATTTGATCATATCACTCATATATAGTAATACATTAATGAAAACACAAGAAACCGAACAAATGAAAGAAGTCCAACAAAAACTCATTCAAGAAAATGAATAATATATGCGTTTACACATAAACCTCTGTTACGAACTGCGAAGAAGAAACCAAAACTGATCCGCAACCTAAAATCTTCAAAAACAAACTGCTTCAGTTCATCGACTGGGCGGTCCATGCCCAGCACAACAACAACGACAACAATAACAACATTTCAAAAAAGAAGCTGAAAATTTAGGGTTTGTTGGGCTGTAAATTGGGCGATGACGCTTGGCTTGGCTTCTGACTATTGTCACTGCTCGTCGCTGATGGGTTTAGCCCATACTCGCTCGTCCCACCATAATCACTGCTTGTATATTCCCGGCTTTCCAACGCTACCTTTCTGAACCTTTTCATGTCGGCGCTGTAAGAGCTTGCGTCGTAATCCGACGACGTACCGGAGCCGAAGTATGAGCTTTGGCCTGGCTTTACTCCGTCGTTCAAATCCTCCATCGATACGTCGCCTTCGAGTGCCCGCACAACTTGGCTCATTTTGGGACGGCGTTTAGCAGAATGGCGAATGCATGCAGCAGCACAAGCCACCATGCATGCCATTTCCTGAGCGTCGTAGTCCTTCTCCAATCTTGGATCTGCCAACGCCTCGTAGGCTCCTTCAGTCATTGCTTTCAAGCATAGAGGCCTCGCCTGTATGCAACCAAATTTTCTTAATTAATTTTTTTTTTAACATAAAAAAAAATTTCTGAATTTATTAAAATTTCATGTTAAATTTCCAAACCCAATCCACTAAGCTGTCCTCCATCAGCTCCCCCGATGCGTCCACGGGTCGTCTTCCAGTTATGATCTCCAAAAGCATTACTCCGTATGAAAATACGTCTGATTTCTCTGTTAGCTTCCCACTTGATGCATATTCCGGAGCCAAATAACTGCATCATTAACCCATTTAGATAAAATTATAATTCAAATTAAAAGTATAAAATATACAAATAAAGGTATCCGATATTCGAACGTACCCAAATGTGCCCATAACGCGAGTGGATACATGAGTGTAATTGTCCTGGTTGAGCTTAGCCAATCCAAAATCAGCCACCTTTTGTAAATTATTAAAAAAAAAAACATTATAATTTATTAATAACGAAAGGAATTTGATAATTGTATTTTAATTAGAATTATTTTTTTTACCTTTGCTTCAAAACTCATGTCTATAAGAATATTTGCCGTCTTAATGTCTCTATGGATGATGCGAGGATGACCTGAAATCCATATCCAAACACTTTATTGAAATTATTTAATTATTATAATTTACGCATAATAATAAATAAAAAAAATTAAAATTAAAAAAATATCCTTAAACTTTACTCACAGTCTTCGTGGAGGTAGGATAGACCCTTAGCCGCACCGAGTGCGATCTTGACTCTCATCGACCATGGCATCGGCGGGCGCCCCTCCCCTGTAAGTTTACACATTTTCAAGATTCAGATTTACCGCTCTAAAATGATAATAAATGTAAGATCACACCTGGGTTGGGGACTAGAACGAGACACTCTGTGTGGAAACTTCTAATTAACAGACCTACGGTAAAAATTAAATAAGACAATATCTACTAGCGGTGGATTTTGGTGAATTTCAATCTTACCATGAAGGTGGAAATCGAGGTTGTTATTAGGAACAAATTCGTACACCAACATTTTCCGATCATTGGTCATGCAATAACCGACGAGGGATACCAAATGACGGTGGTGGACGCGGCTGATAATCTCTACTTCCGCCGCGAATTCCCGATCTCCTTGTCCGCTACCTGTTTTAAGGCTTTTTACGGCAATTTCCTTGCCGTTGGGCAGCACTCCTTTATGAACGTATCCGAATCCGCCTTGCCCTAACAAGTTCGCCGGAGAGAATCCGCTTGTCGCTGCCATCAGCTCGTCGAATGTGAACGTGTTTTTATTGAACCCCAGCGCCACCGACGGGTGTGGCGGTGGTAACGGTGGCCCATGTGGCCCTGAGAAGCTTGAGCTCATGTCGCTGCTTAATAATCCCGGTGGTGGCGGCGGCGGTGGCCATACTCCTCCTTGCCCTCCGCCGGGGGCTGGCGGTGGCCATGCTCCTCCTTGCCCTCCGCCGGGGGCTGGCGGTGGCCATGCTCCTCCCTGCCCACCGCCGGTGGCTGGCGGTGGCCATCCTCCTCCTTGCCCTCCGCCGGTGGCTGGCGGTATGTTCACGAAATGTTCGCCCGTACCGTTCCAGTTCTGATTCCTTCCGTTGTAATAGGGGTCCCCACCTACAAAATTATTTATTGAATTTTGGAGTTTTAAAAACTTATTTGAATTAAAACTAAATTACTATATTACCCTTTATCTTTTATAAATCCTTCAAAATTAGTTATTAATAAAAATGGATTAAAAGGTCGAATCTGACATAGAAAATAGGAATATTTTAAAATAAATTATAAAATTTAGGGTAATAATATTTTATATATAATTTGGCGTGTTTTTTTTAAGGAGGGTAAATAGGTAATTTCACGACTGATTACCTTTCTGATTAGGCCGATCATCGTAGTATACGGTATTACTCTCACGCTTCTTTTTCTTTCGGCTGCAAGCGAAGAATATCAGTGCCATGGCGAATAGCAAAAATCCTGCCGCCACCGCCACTCCTACAATAATCGGAACCACCTCAGGCGTAGAGTCGCCGGATGAGGAGTCCGAGGATCGGGAATGAGGCGAGGAGGAGATCGATTTCGGCGGAGAAGTATGCCTGGAGGATCCAGGAGGTGGAGGAGAAGGCGGAGGAGGTGGTGGCGGTGGAGGAGGCGGAGGAGGAGATGGAGGAGATGGAGGAGATGAAGACGTTGAGTCATTCGGCGGTGGCGGCGATGCATTCGGAGGAGGTGGAGATGAACCAGTCGGAGGAGGCGGAGAAACATCCTGCGGCGGTGGCGGAGAGGACTCGGGCGCAGGTGGAGATGAATCAGACGGAGGCGGGGGAGAGGAACCAGAATCCGAATCCGATTCGGAAGAAGGAGAGGGAGAATCCGATGAATCAGACATTAGAAGAGTTTCCGGCAAAAACTAATTTGTTCAACAGTGCCGGGGAAACCCTCGGCGCTCCTCCAAAACGACGCAGAAGAACGAAAGAGAAGAAGAAAATGGCAGAGAAGAGAATGAAGAGAGGGAAGAGGAAATTAGGGCAAAGCGAAGATTGAAGAAAAGTAAATTAGGGATTTCTAATCGGATAAGAGAAACGGAGGAACCGAATTCTTTCTGTGATTGCTTAATCGGGAGCTCGTTGGGAAGAAGATGAGTGTGTCTGTTTCCATGGAGTTGAAATTACAGCCAAGCTTTTCTGAGCTTTCCTCTGCGATTTTTCAGGTACAGCTTCCCTCTGTTCCGCTATCTTCATGCTGCACCTGTAAAATCCCCACAGCTTCAACAATGGCCGATATAGGCCGCATGATTTTGCATCCTATAATTAGATTTATTTAATTTGTTTTTAAACAAAATTATTGTAATATTAAATTAATACATATAAGATTAATAAATATTTTGTTGTGGTTGGTCTAGGTTGATAAATTTTTTTAAAATTGACCTGAAATGGACTAGTGATCTGATCAATTCGAATAGAGTTCATAATTTAATGCTTTATTTTCGAGTTGGGCTGGATTGTTGGATTATACTTATCTACTATACATGTTACATTAATAACTAAAATTTTATGAGCGTCAATTATTCTTAATCTTCGTAATAATCTTAACCGTGCACTGTTGTGTTGTGAGTTGGATTATAACATTATTTTTATATTGGTCGGTTTTATTGGAATATGTGTAGTTGATATTGCACGAAAACTTTAATAGTAAAACAAGATATGCTTGTTACTTACTACCTTATTCTAATACTTGACTACAAGCCGAGTTGCAGATGACCCAGCTCTGTTATACCTGTAACCATTCACTTTCAACGCATCGAAGTGCAGACCATTACGCTAGTACAAAGGTAAAAATTCGATAAAATTTTTATAAACTCGACCAAAAAAATCTTGATATGTGAATTAATTTGAATATTTGGTTTTCAAAACTTCAACCCAGCACAAGCGGGAAGAAAAATCTAACCCAACCCAACTATTATGGTTTGAATTTGGTGGTCAGATTGGTTGAATTCTCCTGTCATATGAACATTTCCTATCTAAATGTCCGTAAAAACAACGATCTAGTTTTCAAATTTGGGTTTGCAAGAGATCTAATTTAGATTTTAGTCTTTATAGTGAAAAAAAATAGTAAATATATATAAAAAGCTTGAAGTGTCGGTTGTATTTGAGCATTATGGATCGTGAGTTGTTCCTCTAAATTAATTTCATGGTAAAATATTGGATTCTTCTCTCTCGATTTATGGACTAAATTGTAGGGACCTACACGAATTAGGTTAAGAGTGTTAAAAAAATTTAAAAATTAGAAAGATCTGATCAACTCAACCCAACCTGTACCGTTTAGAGTATATTAGATTAAATTCAAATCAATAAAAATTTTATAGATGAGATTGGTTCATAGCCTCTCGTAAAATAGAATTAAATTGAATCTAATCCATTCAATTATATATATATATATACTTTATTTTGATTTCATTTCATAATTTTTTTTATTATTTATTCTCTCATCTTTATTCAAAATAAATGTTAAGTTTAAAAATTTTCAAAATATATATTCAAATTGAATGGTTGAAAATAAATAAATAAATAAATAAGCGTTTCAAAAACTAACATTTTACTTAGATTAATTTTTTTTTTCAATAAACGACCTGAACATCCTGAACTCATCCAACCCGAAAAAATTATGGTTGAATTGAGTTTGGTTGAGTTCATTATTTAGGTTAAAAAATTGACACCTCTAAACAATTTGGTTAGGTCTAAAAATGTCCAATTTAACCCAACTCAACCCATGCATGCGCCAAAGTTATGTTGGAATTTTTTTTTGGACAAATTGGGTTGGTGACCCAAAGGTCCCAGTAAGGTTTAAAATACAACCCAACCTAACTCGATGTGAGTTGATTCTCATAATATTGAGTATTTTTTTAATTATTTAAAAAATTTGTATTTATTCAGTTAATAACTAAAATTTCATAAAATTCAAATATCAAACATTCACAACTCCCAATGCATCAATAACATCTGTTACAACACACACAATTTTCTTAATTTCATAACAATTTCAACGTTTACCATGATTGAACTGAGTTTGGTTACGTTATGAATCCTATTTTTGGGTTGTTCAAGTTTATCCAGTTAACCTAACAAAAACAGCTCCAACTAACTTGCCGAACCTAAACTAAATTTTTTCAATTTTTAAAAAATTCAACCCAGCCCAATCCAACCCAACCATTCAGATTATTTGGATCATATAAACATGTCTAGAGAATTGATCGAACATCTTTTAAGACTTATTATATCTAATCATAGTGGTAGACATTCCAACATGAATGAGACATAAAGTGATTCTTTTGTTGCATACAAGAATGTGGACATTGAGTGATCATGCATGGTCTCTCTATGAGTCAAAGATTTGAAATTTATAAGGCATATTCCCATATGGATTTGAAATTTATAAGGCATATCCCCAAAGATATGTATGAATTTATTCACCGCAACCTTACGACATAATAAGGAGACTAGGATATAACCAAAGAGACGATCTACAAAAATGTTATAAATTCCACTCAACTGAGTGTCCACCCTTTTTCGGGACTCAACGTTCTTGCTGGCAGACTGCCTGGTGTCCACCCTCCTTTGGGACTCAACATTCTCGCTGATACACCGTTCGGAGTCTGGCTTTGATATCATTTGTAACTGTTCAAACCCACCACTAAGTACTTTTTGAGTTTTCCTGAGCTTTCCTTCAAAGCTTTTAAAACACGTATACTGGGGAGAAGTTTTTAAACTTTTATAAAGAATGTTTCGTTCTTTTCTCCAACCAATGTGGGATCTCACAATTAAGTCTAAGAAATGTCTCAGACCAACCCATCTGAACTTACATCTGAACTTATAAGTGAATATTTGAACCACGACCCAAATCTTATAAAGTTAAAAAGAAAATACCCATATAGATTACAACACAAATTAAACACACAAAACTTGAAATAGTATTAATATATCATATAACAAACAAGAAGAGATCAAAGATGGAGAGAAACCCATATCAATTCGAGAGCTATAATAATTTACACAAACTAAACATGAAGCCTCTTGACACAAGTCATGGTGGACAGGATGCTATGATGATCATGGGGCTGAGGGCTTGGTTTTGTGGCCAGGATGGTCATGAGTGGCGCCATGAGAGTGATATATGATAGCATTTGGATGGGTATCAAAGTTGTTCATGAAGTGCTCGCTTTGGGCGTCGCTGCTCACCAATGAATCATCATCAAACAACAGCTCTTTCAGCATCTCTGGGATTGCTTCATCTTTCATTACCTTTTTCCAGTACTCCCCTTTCTCCTTCCTTGCATGGCTTACATTTGCTAGCTGTGATGCCCAAAATCAGTACCAAAAAAAAAAAAAAAAAGGCGTACGTGGATTGAATTTGGTCGGGTTGGAATATTTTTTCAGATTCAACTCAATTGTTCAAGCTGGATTTAGTCGGGTCGAGTTGGGTCAGGTTGTGACGTTATTTAGACTCAACCTAATTGTTTCAGTTGTAAATTTTTTCAACCCAAACGATTAAGTTAATTCGAGTTGTTCTAAGTTATTTATTCAATTTTTTGTTTCTAATAAAATAAAATGTCGTCAAAAATCTATTTGTTCATTTTCAAAAATTTAACTTAAAAATAAAAAATTATTTTTAACAGTATCGGAAGAATAAATAATTAAAAATAATTATGAAATTAAATAAATAAATATATATATTCTAGGGATTTTGGGAATTGTACCTTGGGATGGGTGCTTCGGAATTCTTTAAAAATTTATTATCGGTGTTGAACTAACTACCGTTCAAAGTCTTGTTTCTTTAGTTAATAAGATAAAAAAGGTTAAGGGGTGGAGATCGATATCGACATATATAAATTCTTGTACGTCAACTAATGTCAAGAGCGTTGGTTTCATAAAATGAAATGTCTAATGTTTTTTTTGACCGGGAGAACTAACTGTTGTAAGTGAAACAAACAAGGTGTCCTTTAAAAGAAGCGATCAGTAGCCGAGCCATAGTATTAGGAATAACAAAAACATCTCTAAATACTCATTTTTTTCATACCCAAAACAAGTTTTTAGAAAACCGCTCAAGTTTTAGCAAAAGCAGCTTGTCTAGTTGAAAGATCTGAAAGACAACGTTGTTCTAGGAGAAACGATACTCGTTGGTACTAGATTCAAAGGATTAACGCACCGTTCAATGTAATAACATTATCGATACGTTTTACCTTTCGTAGTAAAAAAAAAAAGACGTTTGAGAATAAAATGTCCAAAAATCACTTTTATCGTTTAGAAAAAACGTGATACCGAGAACAAAATATGTTAAAACGAGTTATGAATGTGAAAAATTTACCAGGATAAGAAAAAGGAGGAAGAAAGCAGCAGAAAGCTTCATGTGATCTGTCAGTCTCAACAGCACACAGATGTTGTTGAATTCAATGTCTTTAACCTGGTTGGTTTTTCAATTTATAGATAAATTTGGGTCAAAACAGTAAATAATTAATTTCTAGGGGCATGGATGAAAAAAAAATTAATTAATTAATTTTTTTTTTAAAAAAATAAAAATTAATCCTTTAAAGCCCAGTGGGTTGGTGTGGCTGAGGATCTTTTAAATATAAAATTCCCTTTCGATGCATTTTCTCATGTCAATGGAAAAATAAAGCATTATTGTTGTCCCTTTAGGTTACCAAATGTTTGACTCGTGAATTAGACTCGTTCGATTTAAAAGTAAAAAAAAAGTCGAGTATATAATTCGATCTCAAAACACTGCTTGATTTACGATTGTACACTGATCATAATCTTATAAATAAAACATTCATCGATACCTCACCGCTAGCCGATATTATTCTCTTTGAGCTTTTTCTCAACGTTTTGAAAACGC